CTTAAGCAGTTGAAAATATGGATATATTAGGGTTTTAAATATTGAGAAAAATGTTAATTGTTAATAGTATCTATTTTCTGTTTTGTTGACCACTATATCCCCAGTGTTGGTTGCTATCATTAGAATTATCAGAACAGTGGTATGATTCAACCCCATTAGATAACTATAGAGATCTATACCGACCGTTACGATGTACTTGTTATGGCTTTCTTTCTTTTAGAATCTTGATTTGGAAGGAACTTTAGAAGTCCTCTATTATGAAAATCATTTTTTAACTTAAAAAATTAACAATGACAAAAATTAAATGATGCATGGGCATGTAGATTCTCCTTAAGTATTTCCTGAGAGGCAGCTCCGTAAAGTATACCTAAAAGAAGCCATTTGTCTAATAGAGGAAGTCGACTGAGAAGTGTTCCTTAGTTCTATGAATGTTTAAGATTTCAAAAGTAAGGGGAGGTGGATGGGAGAGGGATAAAATAGATAAAGGGGATCAAGAGTACACTTACCTTGATGAGCACTGAGTAATGTATAGGATTGTTGAATCATTATATTGTATACCTGAAACTAATATAACACTGTATGTTAATTATACTTCAATTAAAAAAAGATTCAAAAGTAGATTGTGTTAACTTTATGACTGTAATGACCTTAAAGTGACTTATAAAATATACGGGTTTCTTACCCAAGTATGGCATTGACTCTGAATTTTGTTATGGGCATCTCAGATTTTCTCATTGGACCTCGTATTTTTTGTTTAGTTTATTGTTTTTGTTTTTTGCTTCTTTAAAAACACACTTAGGATATAGTCATAGTTGCTGTCTTATTACCAAGTTTTGTGATTTATCTTCCAAATATTTCTTAGATGCATCCCTGACTTTTGAATTAATGTGGTAGCCCTGACTGGTCTTACTTTTGGGCTTGCCCCTCTTCAAGTTTCTTCTCATCTGTGATCATATGTGCTTCTGTAAGACTCTAAATGTGTTTTGATGATAGCATTTATCTCACTGGATTGCAGCTCTTGGTATGTCTGATTCCACTAACTAACCTGAAGTCATGAACTGTATCTTTCATCTTTAGTCCTAGCATAGTGCTTGACATACAGTAGGTACTTGATATACTTCTGTTGAATATATGAATAATGGAGAGAGAATGTGGTAAAGTAGAATAAATTTGGGCTTTGAGTCAGACAGACTTTAAGTCAGGCAGGGTTTAATTCTCACTATGCTACTTATTAGTGTATGACCTTAAACAATTTACTTAGTATTTCCAAATCTCAGTTCTTACATCTGTTGGATGGAAGATAATGTTTCCTTCCTGGAGTAGATTTAATCTCTAATAAGGCACAGATAGTATCTATTTTCTGTTTTGTTGACCACTATATCCCCAGTGTTGGTTGCTATCATTAGAATTATCATTTGCTAAGCCATACCTACCTATTTCTGTTTCTTCAAACAAATCATGATCATTCACAGCTTAGTTTTGCATAATCTCTGTTGGTGTCACCTCTATATAGCTGTATGATCGTTAGCAAGTTACTTCTCAGTTTTTTCATTTATAAGTAGGATAAAAAGAATCAGAGGGTTATGAGAATCAACTAGGATAATTTGTGCACAGTGCTTAGCAAAAAGCAAGATTAAATTATTGTTGGCTATTGACCTTTGTTTTATTTCTATTATAATCATTTTTCCGTACACTGCCCTTTCCCCTTTTTTTGCCTAGCAAGTTTTTACTGATTCTTTAACACCCTCTGAAGTCTCTTGGCATAGTTAGTTGCTCTCTCCCCTAGCATCCCATATCTGTCTTTACCAAATTGCATTCAAGTGCTACAGCTACTAGATAGTTAGCATTTAGAGGCTAGAGATTTTTGTTATGTATCACCAGCACCTAGTATAGATTTGGTATGTCACAAGTTTTTATTAAATGTCAAAGGAGTGAACGAAACATTTTATAATTTTATTAACTTTTAAAATTTTGAGAACTCTAGTTTTAGTATTGTAGAATTTAGTTTGTTTTACCTTTTTTTTTTTTTAAGAGAGAATGAGAGAGAGCGTGAGCAAGTGTAAGTTAGCATGACTGTGGTGGTGAAGGACAGAGGGAAAGGGAGAGAATCTCCAGCAGACCCTCCCTGAGCAAGGAGCTGGCTCGATCCCCAATCCCATGACCCTGAGATCATGATTGGAGCTGAAACCAAGAGTTGGACGCTTCACCAACTGAGCCACCCAGGCTCCCCTACTTTGTCTTCTATTTCTCTTCTTTTGTTCTTTCTCTTTCTTGTTATTTAATTACCTTTATTGAATATTTTCCCCACCTATGTTATGTCTAGCCTGAGTTGAGGTTGTAAGGCCAAGTCATAGTACATGCTTTTATATGGTATTAGAATATACAGTGACTGGGGTGCCTGGGTGGCTCAGTTGGTTAAGTGTCTGCCTTCGGCTCAGGTCATGATCCCGAGGCCTGGGATTGAGCCCCACATCGGGCTCCCTGCTCAGTGGGGAGTCTGCTTCTCCCTCTGCCTCCCCCGACTTGTGCTTATTCTCTCTCTCAAATAAATAAATAAAATCTTTAAAAAAAGAGAATATACAGTGACTTCAGTTTGGTTTCCAGTAATGTTACTGATGATGTCCAACATACTGAGATTTTTTTTTCCACAGCCTTATATTGGACTGATGTCTTTAAGAGCAGTCCATTGTGATTGTCCAATTCTCAGATTCATATCTAGTTAACCTATAAAAAGTGATAAGAGAACAAAAAGTAGTTGCTCCATATGGGAGTATTTTTTAATTTTTTAACTGAAAATTTTCTCTATAACATGTATTAATATGGGAAACTCATAAGGGAACAGCAATTCTTTTTTATTTTTATTTTTATTTTTTAATTTTTAATTTTATTTACTTATTTTTTTTTAAGTAATTTCTCCACCCAATGTGGGACTTGAACTCAATTCCAAGATCAAGTGGCACACTCTACCAACTGAGCCAGCCAGGTGGCCCAAGGAACATCAGTTCTCAACTATACTCTTTCAGAACACCAATTGACCTTCTTTTAGGATTTGTGAAACAGATTGGTCCCACCCTAAGCATAATGTTTCAATATTTAAAAATGATATTTGAGATTTTAGCTGATACTAAGAGATGTCTGTCTAACACTTAATTTAGTCATTACCAAGCTAGCTACTTTTAGAGAGTTGCTGTGGTAGAGAGGAAGAAACTACCTTGAAAGTTATAAATTTAATTCCTGGATCAGGATGGTTGGTGGAGCAGTCAACACACACACAACATTTGTTGATTAGTTTACCATATTACGTGGATGTGGTTTGTGGCACCCCCAAAACATTTACAATAGCAAGATCAAAGATCACTGATCACAGATCATCGTAAATACTATAATAATGAAAAGTTTGAAATATTGCAAGAATTACCAAAATGTGACACACAGACAGAAAGTGAGCAAATGCTGGGGCGCCTGGGTGGCTCAGTCGTTAAGCGTCTGCCTTCAGCTCAGGTCATGATCCCAGGGTCCTGGGATCGAGCCCCACATTGGGCTCCCCCTGCGCAGCGGGAAGCCTGCTTCTCCCTCTCCCACTCCCCCTGCTTGTATTCCCTCTCGCTGTGTCTCTTTCTGTCAAATAAATAAATAAAATCTTAAAAAAAGAAAAAAGTGAGCAAATGGTGTTGGAGAAATAGTGCCAATAGACTTGATTAACAGAAGATTTTCATAAACCTTCCATTTGTAAAAAACGTAATTATCTACAACGTTCAGTAAAGTGAAGTGCAATAAAAAGAGGTAATGTCTGATTTTATTCCTGTGCTACCTTAGCTCTATTTTGCTAGTTCAATATTTAATAAAACTAAGTTGATGAAACTCATCAACTTTATTCTGACATTTGTGAGACTCAGGGCAAGCATTCATTTACCACAATAGGCCTAAATATTTAAAGATTATAAACCAGGCTAATAAATTGTTGGCTATGTTCTGATCTTTTATCTTGAAAAATATACCTTCATAGTGACTTAAAAGGAAAGATTCAAATTTAGAATTTATAGAATTGAGAATTCAAGTATTCAGTTTCACATCAGAATGTTGTGGAGCCCAACCTCCTCCCCACATCCCTAGCTCTAACACCACAGACAGGTCTCATTGCATGCCTGTGGACATCATGCATGCATGCCCAAGATCCAAGCTCTTCCAAACAGCAGTCCTTGGCACAGGGGTATATACATCTGTAGCATAGTCCATCCTCAGGACAGACCTAGGGAAGATTCCTGTGCAAGCCTTGTAATTGGGTTAGAGATACTTGGGCAAGAAATTCCAGAGTTCCAGGTGAATACAGTGCCATCTAGAAGGGGAAGTATATGGGTATATCCTGTTGTTTCCATGGATTCTTTGCCCAGCGGTGAAGGGCATGGCCTGAGGAGGGCCAGAGTGGGTCTAGGGCCTGAGATCTGTTTTGCCAGGATCTAAATACAGTACTCGGTGAGAAGGCTGAAGGGATGGTTCCATCAAAGATCAGTTTAGTCATTGAGTAGTTTCTGAGTGCTCACTATATCACAAGCTATCTGCTAGAAGCTGGGGATATGATGCTGAATAAGGTATGATCTTTGTTCACTAATAAGGGGGACAACATGCACATAAATTGCAGTGTGATACATGTGCTATATAGTGGAATTATGTTCTTGAAATAATGTTGGCACAAAGAGGAAGAGGGAAAATTTGAACTAGGGCATGAAAGTTGAATGGGACCAATTTGGTAAGTTGGAATCAGAAACATGGGAGTAGGAGGAAAATGCATAAAAAGAGGCATAAATATGTGACTAAAAATAGTAGAATCAAATAACTATAGGTTATTTTGTATAGCCGAAGCAGAGATCATATGCTTCTTTTTTTTTTTTAAGATTTCATTTATTTATTTGACAGAGGGATAGAGAGAGAACGCGCAAGTAGGCAGAGCTGCAGGCAGAGGGAGAGAGAGAAGCAGACTCCCTGCCGAGCTGGGGGAGCCTGATGTGGGGCTCGACCCCGGGATCACAACCCGAGCCAAAGGCAGCCACCCAACCGACTGAGCCACCCAGGCACCCCGAGATTATATGCTTCTTGCACATAGGAGATGAGTTTGAAGAGGTGGGGATTGGGAGACTGTCCTTAGATACCATGTTAAGAAGATTGGATTTTTTTCCTGTAGAGACATGTGTTACTTCAGATTCTCTCTGGAGAAACAGAACTACCAAGGGGTGTGTGTGTGTGTGTGTGTGTGTGCATGTGTGTATACAGAGAGAGAGAGAGAGAGATTTATTTTAAGGAATTGGCTCATGAGATTGTGGAGGATTGGCTAGTTTAAAAACTGCTGGGGGCTAGGCCGCCTGGACGCGGAGAAGACAGGAGTAGCGAGCCACTGAATAAGCTTCCAAAATGATGCCCACACCAGTTATCCTGTGGAAAGAGGGGACCAGTGGCTCCCAAGGCATCCCCCAGCTTGTAAGTAACATCAGTGCCTGCCAGGTGATCGTGGAGGCTGTAGGAACCACCCTGAGCCCTCATGGCATGGACAAGCTGATTGTAGATGGCCAAGGCAAAGCAATAATTTCTAATGATGGGGCCACAATTCTGAAACTCCTTGATGTTGTCCATCCTGCAGCAAAGACTTTAGTGGACATTGCCAAATCCCAAGATGCTGAGGTCAGTGATGGTACCACCTCAGTGACCTTCTTGGCTGCAGAGTTTCTGAAGCAAGTGAAACCCTATGTAGAGGAAGGTTTGCACCCACAGATCATCTGAGCTTTCCGTACTGCCACCCAGTTGGCAGTTAACAAGATCAAAGAGGTTGCTATGACTGTGAAGAAGGAAGATAAAGTGGAGCAGAGGAAGCTGCTGGAGAAGTGTGCCATGACCGCTCTGAGCGCCAAGCTGATTTCCCAGCAGAAAGCCTTCTTCACTAAGATGGTGGTGGATGCGGTGATAATGCTGGACGATTTGTTGCAGCTTAAAATGATTGGAATCAAGAAGGTGCAAGGTGGTGTCCTAGAGGAGTCCCAGCTGGTAGCTGGCATCGCATTCAAGAAGACTTTCTCTTATGCTGGGTTTGAAATGCAACCCAAAAAGTACAATAATCCGATGATTGCCCTTTTAAATGTTGAGCTTGAGCTGAAAGCTGAGAAAGATAATGCTGAAATCAGAGTCCACATGGTTGAGGATTATCAGGCAATCGTTGATGCTGAATGGAACATTATGACAAGTTAGAGAGGATGCATCATTCTGGAGCCAAAGTCTCTTGTCCATACTCCCCATCGGGGATGTGGCCACCCAGTACTTTGCCGACAGGGACATGTTCTGTGCTGGCCAAGTGCTGGAGGAGGATCTGAAGAGGACGATGATGGCCTGCAGAGGCTCCATCCAAACGAGTGTGAATGTTCTGTCGTCAGATGTGCTGGGCCGCTGCCAGGTCTTTGAAGAGACCCAGATTGGAGGCGAGAGGTACAATTTCTTCACTAGCTGCCCCAAGGCCAAGACTTGCGCTATCATCCTTCGTGGTGGTGCTGAGCAGTTTATGGAGGAGACAGAGCGGTCCCTGCATGACGCCATCATGATTGCCAGGAGGGCCATCAAGAACGATTCAGTGGTGGCTGGTGGCGGGGCCGTTGAGATGGAGCTCTCCAAGTACCTGCGGGATTACTCAAGGACCATTCCAGGAAAACAGCAGCTGTTGATTGGGGCATATGCCAAGGCCTTGGAAATTATCCCACGCCAGCTGTGTGACAATGCTGGCTTTGATGCCACAAACATCCTCAACAAGCTGCAGGCGTGGCATGCCCAGGGGGGCATGTGGTATGGAGTGGACATCAACAACGAGGACATTGCTGACAACTTCGAGGCCTTCGTGTGGGAGCCAGCCATGGTGCGCATCCGTGCCCTGACCACAGCCTCTGAGGCCGCCTGCCTTATCGTGTCAATAGATGAAACCATCAAAAACCCTCTCTCAACAGTGGACACTCCCCCAGCTGCGGGCCGTGGCCGGGGCCGGGGCTGGGGCCACCCTCATTGAGAGTGGCTGGCAGGCTGGCTGCAGGATGTGCTTACTCTCCCTGTATTGGTCCATTGGTATTATGAGGAAGGGGTAGTAATTAGCCCACTCTGTTCTCACTGGATGTTATTTAAATAAATGTAAGACTTAGGAAAAAAAAAAAACTGATGGGGCAGGGTAGCAGGCTGGCAGGCTGGAGACTCAGGGAATTGCATTGAGTTCAAAGGCAGCGTGCTAGAAGGAGGTCAGCCTTTGTTCCAATAACACCTTCAAATGATTGGATGAAGCCCCCTGACATTATGGAGGGTAATCTGCTTTACTCAAAGTCTATTGATTAATGTGTTCATCTTATCCAAAGAAACACCTTCATAGAACATCCAGAATAATATTTGACCAAATATCTATGCACTATGGTCCATCAAAGTTGACACATAAAATTAAACATCATAACTAGTGTTTCTTAAGCTAGGTCCACAGATATTTTGGGGGGGGGGGTCTGTGGTAATTTAGGAATTTTAATTTTGTGTTTTCATTTCAGTAATTTAAATTCTTTTTTGAGAGGTGCTAATAAAATTCTTTTGCAATGATAATTCACAATTGAGAGATTTTTTTTTTTTTTTCATAGAATAAGACTAGTTTCTTAAGTCACTTTCTCATACTGGGTCTTTGGACTCTTAGGATATCTGTAGAATAATCCGCAGAGATTCTTTTTTTCTTTTTTTTTTTTTTTTAGATTTTATTTATTTGTCAGGGAGAGCACAAGCAGGGGGAGCGGCAGGCAGAGGGAGAAGCAGGCTCCCCGCTGAGCAAGAAGCCTGATGTGGGACTCGATCCCAGGACCCAGGGACCATGACCTGAGCCAAAGGCAGACACTTAACTGACTGAGCCACCCAGGCGTCCCAAATCTTCAGATTCTTGATAATTTTGTTTTTTAAAAAGGTGTCACTACCTTATTCCAGCTTGAAAAACAGTATAATATAGGCTACCCAAATCATAAAAGGAATTGAAACAGATAGCATTTGCATTTTAGAAGGATTTAATTTGGTGCTTAGAGGGGCCAGAATAGAGATAGAAACAGCGTTGATGTTGAAATGATATGGAAGAGAGATAGCACGGAAATAATGGGATTTGGTTACCAATTTGTTATGAAGAATGAGAAAGGGATTACTGGGATGACTACTTTTTACTTGGGTAAGGAGCAGATGGTAGTGCCCTTAGTAAGACATTACAGGATGATGAAACTTGGAGGGGAGGGGAAGTGTAGAAAATAAGTTCTGAGTTAGTTTTGGAGTGTCTGGTGAACAGTGAGAAATATCTTGCGGGCAGGTGGATATACATAGGCTTGGTGCTCAGGGAAAAGTCTAGAATAGAGAGAGATACGGGAATTTGTTTTTAAGTTTGTGATAGAAAAAGACATGGGTGTCAGAAAAAAAGTACAGAAGGGGCCAATGATAGATCCTAGGAAACAGCAACACAGCAACATTAAAAGGCTGGAAATTTGAGGAAAGTAGGAAAATTCACAAGGCTGCTGGGAGGAATCATAAAGGGAGTCAGTTAAAGATGAATGCAAGTATTGTCATGTAAGGTTGATGGCTAATTTGAGATTTGGAAAGCACGTGTTTGTAGTGGAGCCAATCAGCGTAGTTGAATAACTTACCCAGTGATGCTTAGCTGCTCAGAAACTGACAAAAAGATCTGTAGAGTTTACTCAGAACTGGGGATAGACATAGGGCTATCCAGGTGAACAGTTGAAATGAATAGAGTGTGAGCATTAAAATGAGGAGGAAAGCAGGTGTCATCAGGAGAAGGCTGATAGACTGGAGGTCACAGTAGGATGAAGGAAGAGTAGGATTAGAAGAAGTTGAGAAAGGGTGGAATAGGTGGTTGAAGTCAGAGGGGACTTTCAGAATTTGAGATTTTGAAGGTTGCAATTCTGAATGATGATTTAGGGCCAAGGTTAGACCTTGCTAATGGGTGGATAAAATGGAATAGAGTGAAAATAACTAAAGTTGAGAAGGAATTTATTTCCTTATTCTTTGTAAAGTTAGTGATCTCTTGATTAAGACGAGGTAGAAATGAGTATTTTGAAAGCTGGGAAATAACTAACTAATTTTAACAGTTTTATAATTAAAGAAAAAATTAATAGAGGAAGAAGACTAGCAATTTTAAAATTTTATATTAGTATATTGCTTGTTTTAAACATCAAACTTTGTGGAATATCTCCATAGTCTTTCAGGAAATTTGAAACAATGGTGTATTCTTAATGTAATTTACTTTCCTAGTGAAGGCTAGAAAAAGGTGAACTTCACGTTATTATTGACAACATGACTCTTTCCTTTCCTTGGGTGCTAAAGGACCAAGGAAGATAGTTTAGTTTTAGGTGTTGGGTCCTACTCATTGTTTAAGACCTGGATTACTATGGAGTTGTGGAGGATGAGAAATTGTGAGAAAAACCAATGGAGGCAATACTCTATTTTTGCCAAGACTGGTTAAAAAAGGGTAAACCACAGTAAATGCTCCATTAACTTGAATGTTGAGGGAAAATGGAGAGTTGAGTTTTCTCATAATTGAAAGTTATTTTTTTCCAACTCTATATTTTACATCTTTGCAAATGAATTAAACTATTTCCACATGTCATTTATTTTAAACGTAGGTCTTTGTGTTAAGTATTGAATATATATAATTAAGATGAATCTATAATGAATGGTGAATGATCCCAAGTATGTATTTGAAAGCAAATCTCTTGTTATTAGCTAGGGTTTGTTTTTTTTTTAATTTGTGTGAATTTTGTATTTTGTTATTTTGTTTGTTTGGTTTTTTTTTTTTTGAGTGAGTGAGAGAGAGAATGTGTATGTTAGTGTGAGTAGATTAGGGAGCCGTACCGTTTAGAAGTTAGTTAGTAGTTAGGTTTGGGGGCACCTGGGTGGCTCAGTTGATTAAACATCTGCCTTCAGCTCAGGTCATGATCCCAGCGTCCTGGGATGGAGTACCTCACTGGGCTCCCTGCTGAGCAGGTAGCCGGCTTCTCCTTCTGCCCCTCCCCCTGCCCATGCACTCTCGCTTTCAGTCTCTCAAATAAATAAATAATCTTTATTAAAAAAAAAAGTTAGGCTTGGCCTCTAGAGGTATAGATAGGGAAATCAAGGGGGAGGAAGTTAGATTTTTTCTTTTAAGATTTTATTTATTTGGTTGAGAGAGAGAGAATAGGTGCATGCGCAGGAGAGCAAGGCAGGAGAGGGAGAGGGACAGGCCAGCTCTACACTGAGTGTGGTGCCCAGTGCGGGTCTTGATGCAGGGTTCAATCCCAGGACTCTGAGATCATGACCTGAACTGAAATCAAGAGTCGGACACTTAACCCACTGAGCCACCAGGCGCCCCAGGAAATTAGATTTAATTCAAACCTTGAAGAATGATTGGGCTTGGGCAGCCATAGATGAGGAGAGGAGGGTATTTAAAGCTGGGGAATCAACATGAGGAAAAAAGCATATTATATTTATGATTTAGGAGGTGGTGAGGAGACTAGCCTTGGTAGAGGATCCATCCAGGTTGGGAAATAGAATATAAATTTACAAAGACAGAGTAGATTAGATTATGGGAAACTTGAAAAATAACCAGTATAATTTAGGCTGCACATGGCAGGCATTGTAGAGCCATTTAAAGGTACTTGTTAGGGAATTAAAAATATTAGGAAAATCACCTTGCCATTAGTTTGTAGAATAGGTTGAATATGGACTTTATTTGTTCATCCAATATTTATTAAGCATACACTATATATACTATTGCCCATACTGAGAATACATCAGCAAATCAGTGAAACTTATATTGTGTTAGTGCTTGGAACAAAGATGAGGAATAAGCAGGAACAAGTAGGTGTTAGTAGAAGATAGATGGGTAGTGATGGATAGCATTCTGTCCTATGGTGGTGAGGTTCTAGTCAGGTAGGATATATGAGTGGAGAAGAAGGAAGCAAATTCAAGAACTTGCCAAGGAATTGATGGAATTCTAGGTAATAGTGCGTGAAAGGGAAGAATGAAAGGTGATATGCCAAGGTTAAAGCTAGGCAGACGGAATTAAAATTATGTATTTCTAGGAAAGAGGATGTTAAGTTTGGATACTTAATTTTGCGTGAGAAAATAAGGACATTTATTTTATTACTTGCAACTGAAAACATTTAAATGTGCAGTATAGCAATGTGTTTTGACACTGATGCCTAATTTTATATGAGAAACATTTCAATAGCTATGTATTTGTACTCTTGTTTACATTTTCATTACTGTTAGTACGTATTTCATTTTTTTATTTAGTGAAATAGTTTTGAGGATGTGTTATTATAGTTCTTTTGGACTACCAGAATGCTTTAAAGTCTGCATTTATAGGATCTAACTTATCTAGGAGATTTAACAATTCCCAAAAAATTAAGTTGCATTTTAACTACTCAGTTGTTAGAATTTAGCCATCTTTGTGTTATACTTCTATTAACTATAACGATTCAAAGTTTTTGTCTTTGCTTATAGAAAGAGCTCAGGCCAGTGTTTTTGGGCAGTGCTGTTCTCAATAAATTTTTCTGTTATCTGAGAGTATTCATATAATTGCTCTGTTTTAGACTTAATTCTGAAAAATAGTGTTACTGAGTTATTTATTCTGGAAGAGAATTTTGGTCTTTGTATAATTCTCCAGAAGTTTTGTTTTTATTTTTGTTTTAATTCTGCAATGCATAAATTAAGTCCAGTATTTATTGAGTGCTGCCCATTTTTCTTTTAAATATCCCATTATCGGACGCCTGGGTGGCTCAGTTGGTTAAGTGACTGCCTTCGGCTCAGGTCATGATCCTGGAGTCCCTGGATCGAGTCCCGCATCGGGCTCCCTGCTCGGCAGGGAGTCTGCTTCTCCCTCTGACCCTCCCCCGTCTCATGTGCTCTCTCTCTCCTCTCATCCTCTCTCTCAAATAAATAAATAAAATCTTAAAAATAAATAAATAAATAAATAAATAAATAAATGTCCCATTATCCATGAACTTTGCATTCGTGGCTGCTTTCAAAATATTCTAAAGTCTTACTTCGTTTATTCCTCTGTCTTCTAAGAACCAGGGACCTATTTTATTAAATTGGAGGTCCCTAAAACAGTTTAGTTCTCTTGAGCCATTTGTAGACCATGCTGCAAAGTCTTTAACTTGTCTATTAATAATTCCTCACTTCCCTACTTGTGTACCTCTCCTCTACCTTGGTTTTCAGTTCATC